ATAGGACTTTATATATTCCGAAGTTAGGTGGTTACGTAATTTGGCTTTAAAAACCGCTAAGTTAGACGACAGCCTAATTTCGAGAGGAATATTATCCCAGAGGAAGGCATATAGTGAGGAAAAATAACGAGAACGGTTAGATGTGGAACTAAGACGTGGTGAAATTATTATAGAGGAACTACGAGCGCCGATCTACCGGAGTGCTAGTGTCAATAGCTGATTAGGAAGTTTCGTGTACACATCATAAGTTTATCTATTTCTCCTATAAAGACTGGGTTTATAAAGAAGGTTATTCTTCGGTATGCCATCGAATGTCCTTTGGTAGACGATAAGGACCCCATGCAGTTTAACCCCTCTATAAACTTCCCTGGTCTACCATTCTAAGCAATAGAGTAAATTTGTCCTGCAGGGTCGACCTCTACAGAAACCAAGCTAGAAATAGGAAAGCAGATGGTTTGTTTAAGAAAATGTTTAAGACCTTATTTTACTTTCCATAATTTTGTCGCAAATCGAAGTAAGGCTGGTCAATCGATATTTGTTTGCGGAAACCCAGCTTCCACATTTATAGAGGTGCGTAATCCACGCGAACTTCAAATATCCTGGTATGTACCTCGCGTGGACCGATGTTTGGGAAAGCGTTACGAGTGGTCTTGCATGCATCTTCAACATCTCCATTCTGTATTTGAGTCAGCGAGAGCCGAAAGGAAAAATAAAACATCTTGATTATTAACTATAGTCTTCAGCGAATATGAATACCAAAGATAAAATAACCTTTCGAAAGTTGCAAAAAGGATACTTAATTATACACGTACCAAGTTTGTTTTACTGGACCAATATCTCCGAGTGTTGATTATGTCCTTCCAGTGGATGGTTTGACCTATGAGGGGCCGGTCGTATTGTCTGTATTTTCGCCCCGTGTGGAAATTTACACCAACCTGCGCTCTCAGGCGATATATCCTCCATATTAATATGTTTTTTATAAACTAAAAAAAGTTTACCAAGTTTTCACTGCAAAACATATAACATTTTGCCACCATAATTCAAGTTAATATTCGCCATCTTGCAAAATGTGTGATATAATGCCAACAATAGCTGAGGATGGGAACTCCAGCCAAGGCGATCGGGATTCTCAAGTCAGCGGGGATGGAAACACGGTTGAGGATATGCTTTTGAGCATTTTGGATGAGCGAGACCGCCTTATGGAGAATTTTCAAGAAGCTCAAGAACAACTGTCTTACTCGCAAAATAGAATGCAAGAACTTGAACGTGAAAAAGAGTGCCTTTCGCGTCAATTAAGGGAAAAAATACCTGAGGTCAGCCCATACTTATTAACGGCTTTATTGTTGAAAACTAAATTTTAATTGTTTTCGAGAGTTCTATCTATACGCGCGTAGAGATTATAGATGCCGTAAGGAGAATTTAAGCGAGTTGCCTATTTTGATATTCAATGCAGCACGTGTTTCCAATGTTCGCTTACCATTCTCTATCAGCCTAAGATAGTGGTTTTATTTAGATTTCATCACTTATATGTGCCCGAAATAATCTATTCCTAAATTAACCTGTATATACATAAACGAACATAAATAGACATACATATTTTCGTAAAACGAAGAACGTATTTCAACTAAATTGTCTGGTTTGGTGGGTTATGTCCAAACCTTTCTTATGTACTTGGTCAACCAAATTCTTGTTTTTGATTGGGATCGTAGTATTAATTTCAAGCTTTTATGACAACAGCTTTTCTTTTGTAGAACACACTTTGTTCTTAGTCTCAGGGAGACTTTCTTATTCTTGAAAAAGGCATAGGCTCCTTTAAAAGTCATCTTTGTTATATTCAGTCTATCGCCATTTTTAAAAATTGTCTGTTGTCTTTTTGCAGAAAATATTTCTTGCATCATTTTCTATGCACATAACTGCATATCAATGGATTTTTGATATCTCTGAAATTTGAAAATTTAACATGCACTATTATGTCCAAATTGCAAGTATTTACTAACAGTTTAAAATTCTGTCTATCTTAAAGGTATACCATTGGTTCTCAAATAATAGTACACTTAAAATGCGAAGTTGAACACCAATCTTGGCACTGAAATATCAACTAAATAATTGTTATGTTTACAAACTGCAGTCCGTAAAATTGGCGCACTTACCTGTGTTTCTCACTTATCCACTGAAAAAAAAAATTTTTTTAATGCTTTCCGAGCAATAGCTCCACTAAAAAAGTACGCATTTAAGCATTATTGTCTTAACCGCAGAAGTTACATAGGATTCACTGAGACAAATTAAGTATATCCGGACAATGACTGACTAGTTGACAAATAACTTGAAATATTCATTTGGACTAAGGATGTGTTTTACTGCTACGATACCAACGTTCACAAAACACGCTTTATTAATTGCTGCGTGGTTGTTACATGTCAGCGAAATCTGGTCGACCAGTCAACGTAACAAAATCACTTTGTTCTTTTAATTATTCATGTGCAAGATTTATCGACTAATGTGCTTTGACATTTTAGGATATCGCAGTCTTAACTAAGGATGTGCAGCAACTACGTGATCAGTTAATGGAACGAGAAGACGAAATCCAGGAACTAAAAGCGGAGCGCAGTAACACAAGGGTATTTCTCCTTCTTTTATGTCCTGACTTCCTAGTTTCCAAGTTGAATGAGTACACTTTTATTATTTTATTTTTTGTGCTTGCTCCCTGGTGCACACTAAATGATGGAATGTAAAATCTTTGTCGTATGGATGGCAAGGTCTTTTTCCATACTGTGATCCACGTGTAACTCGTGCCTTTTAAGGCTATTTCGAGGAATGTTAAGGTAACTTTATGTCTTGTTCGTCTTCCGAAGGACATTTGATACTATACTCCCTTGGCTAAAAGTTCAAAGAAGATCTGTGAAAATTCTGCTGAAATTGTGTTGAACAAATGTAGGCAAGTACACCAAATAATGTGCCTGAAGGGCTTGGCTGATAGTCTAGGCCTACAGTAATCATTTCATATTTTCATTATTTTTTCATTCAACTTGAACGCATGTATACATGCTTCGCATATGCATTAGAGTCTCCTGTATTGTAGTCTTCCCCGTCATTTTTGACATTAGTAATATCCCTATGTCAAAACCGGCAATAGTGAAGGCAATCAAACCTTTTCCAGGCAAATTCCATCAGCTCGTCAGGAAAGACTAGCCAATCACATTAAGCATTCACTTTCGCTCTTGTTTTCATCCCATCAATTTTCCTGGGCGTGCGCAGTCTCGCCTGGCAGCAAACTTTACGCAATGACGTTAATTTCTGGTTATATTTTCTTGCCACCTTCTAGTGATGTGTGCTAGGAGATTTCTTTAGCTTAAGCGCCTACTTGGAGATTCCCATCAAAAGCACTGATTTCTTTTACCACCTGACATTCCGGTTAGTTCTAGTCGTTTGTTTTTTTGGTTGTCAAGAGGAAATGGGAGGATTTCGAGGTCTTTCTGTGAAAGCACGTCAATAGTCTTTGTACAGGTCTAAGAAGACACTGAATACCCAATCTGAAGATATCTTAACCCTTGTTTTCAATTGCGTGTGTTAATGATGGGGGATGTTTTGAACGTAGTTACAGTACAGCAGCCTACAGGTACCCGGTTTTATAGAAGGGACACAGAAGGTTTTGCAGTGTTAACACATATGGCATAAGGTTTGATGGAGAATGTAGAATGAACTTGTGTGGTTCAGTTCTTCTTGGTATTAACATTACTTCTGTTCTATTAACAGACAACCGCGTATACAGATTAATCGACCATTTATTGTTTATTCTCTGCATTCAGTCAGTCATGCCAGCTCAACTACCAATCGAACTGTCTTAG